ATCATAGGTAGACATATATATATATCCTTCTACACACTTAGTACAGCACATTCAATATACACTATATTGCCAAACATTTGTGAAAGAATGGGTCCCTCTCAGGAGCTCGCGTGGTACGGTGATAGGTTGCCACCTGTACAATAAGTCCATTCGTAACATTTCCTTGCTACGAAATGTTCCACGGTCACCTGTTAGTGGTATTGTAACAAAGTGGAAGCAACTGGGAACAACAGCAACTCAGCCACAAAGTGGTAGGCCACGTAAAATGACAGAGCGGTGTCAGCGAATGCTGAAGCGCCCAGAAGTCGCCAACTGCTTGCAGAGTCAATAGCTACAGACCTCCAAACTTCGTGTGGCCTTCAGATTGGCACAACAACAGTGCATAGAGAGCTTCATGGAATGGGTTTCCATGGCCGAGCAGCTGCATCCAAGCCTTACATCACCAAGTGCAATACAAAGCGTCGTATGCAGTGGTGTAAGGCACACCGCCACTTGACTCTAGAGAAGTGGAGACGTGTTCCCTGGAGTAACAAATCACGCTGTGTCTAGCAATCCGATGGACGTGTCTGGGTTTGGTGGTTGCCAGGAGTACGGTACTTGCCTGACTGCATTGTGCCAAGTGTAAAGTTTGGTGGAGGGGGGATTATGGTGTGGGGTTGTTTTTCAGGGGTTGGGCTTGGCCCCTTAGTACCAGAGAAGGGAACTCTTAAGGCATCAGCAAACCAAGACATTTTGGACAATTTCATGCTCCCAACTTTGTGGGAACAGTTTGGGGATGGCCCCTTCCTGTTCCAACATGACTGCGCACCAGTGCATAAAGCAAGGTCCATAAAGACATGGATGAGCGAGTCCTGGCCTCAACCCAATAGAACACCTTTGGGATAAATAAAGGTTATCCCAAAGAAACTGCATCACAACTGCATGCGTCTGCACAGTTGCATTGCGATCCATTTTGATGCGTTTGTGAAGTGTTTTCATGCATTCCAATGCGTTTGTTCCAATAAAATGACAATTAGGTAACTTCCTTTTTCCTGTCAGAGCATTTCCTTCATTTTGGAGCTCAGACATGCTTGCTTTGTTGGCAGGTATGGTGATAGTGTTGGCTATACCTACAAAGAGGAAGTCCTTGGCTTATGACACAATCAATTCTGTGCTTTTTGTTGCGTTCCGGTATGATCAGATGCAGCTCAAATAGGACAAGCAGTATTCTTTCTGACTATGGACTGCAATGGTGTGAATACCGCACAAAAAAAGCCCATAGGAAAGCATTGTGATGTATTTCGATTGCAGCAGCCAAACTGAACAGACTGCATATGGTGTGAACTAGCCCTTAGAGCGGAGGCTGCGAGCCAGGCCTTCTCGTCCAACATTAGTAAAATCACAAATGCCGGAAGAATGGTCAAACATTCCCATAGACACTCCTAAACCTTGTTGACAACCTTCCCAGAAGAGTTGAAGCAGTTATAGCGGCAAAGGGTGGGCCAGCCAACTCCATATTGACCCCTACCGACTAAGACTGGGATGCCATGAATTTTCATGTGCATGTAAAGGCAGGCGTCCCAATACTTGTGGCATTATGTTTTTAAAAATTTGTTATTTTGAAAGAAAAAAAAATCATACCACACAAGGGTAAGACATTGCTTTACTATAGGTTTGTGTTAGGATGATCCCCTTGATCTTTGGAGGAGCTGCTCTTCCCCTCTGTGAAGGAAACATTTATGGTGATGTCCTAGGAGTGTCCCTTAGCACTGACAGCTAATTGTTTTAGCTTCATTCTGTCCAACTCCTATTCATGCGAAGGAAATGTCTTTGTTTGGATGTGTGGGCAATTAGTTTACTAGCCACAGCCTTTTTCAGACATTCAACCTCTATTCCTCCAGATGGTCCCAGCAAAGGCTGCTCAGCTTCTACACCCACTATTTTTAAATGGATTCAGCAGGTTGTCATTCAAACTCGAGTTACAGGTTAAGGTTCCTCCTTTTCTTATCTCTGCTCTTTCCACTAGGGCAGACTGTAGTTCCAGGACATTTCAAAACCAAAGCCTGTTACTCAAATTTGTAAGGCCGAAACTTGGTCTTCTGTTAGTTTGCAAAATTCAGATTGATGCTTCTGCCTCCTCTGAGCATAGTTTGTGGCAGAAAAGGTATTTAGGCAGCTGTATAAAGTATTTGTACAGTTCCATTTTGTTAAATTGGTTCTTTAGTTGTTGTGGTGCCCAGCCCTCTGGACTACTTTTGCACATCCCTACGCATCAGAATTCTTAAAGTGATGTGTCCCTCAATGGAGGATCTAGAACCAGAATTTTGTTCTTACCGTAAAATCCTTTGGTCAGTCCATTGAGTGACAGCTGCCTCCCCTTTCCTTCTTTGCCGCTTGCTAGAACTCTCCATTCTCCCACATATTGCTAATGGCCAGAACTCTGATGGGCTACATCACTGGCTCATAGAAAGTTTGAAGCTGAGAAGTGTGAACACTACCAGGAAATGTTGGCGCTTTTTACAAGTCGGCATTATTTAGCCAGTGATTTACATAGTGGAGAGTGCAGACAACTCTAGGTAACTGCGTGTAATACTTGTTTTTACTGCGTGAGCACCACTAACCCTTACCTTTAAAGCAGCCTCATGACACGCTACTAGATCAGGAAGAACCAACTTGCATCTCAGATAAACCCACACTAAGAAAAGCTATGCAAAGCCATCTGGAGTCATGGTGAATATTTTTATTGGAACCCAATTAAATACAAGAGCCCTAGTTGTGAAAGTACTCAATTAGTCTTAAGTCTAGGTGGAAAATAAGCACTTAGAATCTTCTAGGATTAAATAGCATTAAGTTAACCATACGTGGCAATCATGGGAAATCAGCAAAACTGGCTGCAGAATTAATATTGTATTTATGCAATGTAACCAAGGAACAGCTTCCATAAATACATTTCTATTTACAAATCTTAAGACCCTTTCTTCCATTTCCTAAACACTTCATTTTGTTGCTCAAGTGTTGCAATCTACTCTTTAGGCTTGGTTTACTATGTTCCCTTGGGGTCCTGTTCCCAGAACTTAAAGACAGTCACTTGGCCAATTCAAGGTCCTATGATAGCCACACTCCATGTGCCATCAGAACTCTGAGGCATTACTCGAAGAAAATGTTTTCCCCAGATATTTGAGAGTGTGTGATCACAATGTGTGCAGTGCTCAAGACTAGGCAGCAAACCCCAGTTATGACTACCGCGTTTCCCCGAAAAAATAAGACTTTTTTTGAGCCCCCCAAAAAATATAAAACACATTAGGTCTTATTTTCAGGGTAGGTCTTATTTTCATTTTTTTAATGTACAACAATCCACACTTATTCATGTAGAAAAGTCTACATGTATTCATGTACAAAAATATGGTGATCAGGGCAATCAGGGGTGCCATACCTTTCCAAGAGCAATTTGCTAACCAATCACTGGCCAGAATGAGCAAAGTGCACTTTCACTATCCATTCCTCCCAGGCGGAGTGCATTTGGTATCACTCCGCCTGAGACAGGAGCCAGCGCTATAGAGGTATCGGCTTATACGGCTCTGTTTCCTCTAGCACTGGCTTGGTTGGCATCGCTGATTCTCTCCTGCCTCTCTCGCAGCTCTTCAAGTTCCCCCTTATGCCACCACTGGCCCTGGGAATGGTCACAACTAGGTCTTATTTTCGGGGTAGGTCTTATATTTTACCAATTCCCAAAAATAGTACTAGGTCTTATTTTCTGGGAAACAGGGTATTATGTGTGAGGCAGTGATGTCAATCACCGAAGCACCAAAAGACGACATTTAAGGTGGCCATACACCTTACAACCATTGTACAACTTTTTTTGTCCAGATATCTCACCCGTTCAATTTTCTTACACCTAGCCCATCATGCTCAGACCAATGTAGTTCGCAATTAACGCTAGTCAGCACCACTAGCTGGCCAATTTTCATCAAAAGGACAGACTTTCGTTTGAGCATGTGCAGTTATCTTGAGATTTTTGTTGTACAACGCCACTAACCTGTCAATTTTCGTCCAGACAAAAGTTTTCTAGCCTGCTTGAAAGACAAAAATCTGCCAGTTGTACAGTAATTGAGGTTGTGCACTCCCCATCAACTGGTAGATTTTTGGACGAAAATGCAATGCAGACACAAATCTCCAGATAATTGAAAGGTGTATGGGCAGGTTTAGGGGGATCTTCACAGCAGAAAGGAAAATTAGCATATTCTGAAAGTATGCAGATTATAAAATGGTGCTGGAAATAAAACCCACATGACTGGTTAAAAGCTTAGGTAAAAAGTATGAAGCTGTGTCAGAGTTAAGTCTATTCCTTTAGTAAATTAAGCTTAGCACATCTACAGGCTACCAAGATGTGCCAAACATTCTTGGCCATATCTGTTCAAACAGGCATTGTTTAAATCACATTATCAGGAGTAGCAAAGCCATTGAATTCAATTCTGTGTGGGAACAGAAAAATGTAGTCCTCAGATTAAACATGTAATGAGAGCAATAAGGCGCTGCCGTCACTTGCCTACTACAAATGCTAGTTGACCATCATCAGCGACTTAGGAAATGTGTACTGAAAGAGGCAACCATTGCCGGACACCTAATACCCCCCAATTGCTTAGCAATGTCTGGATTAAATACTCTGAGCTGTGGCACTTGTAATAAGTGTGAAAATTAGAAAAGAATAAAGTCAGAACTCCTATACACATCTACTCCAGGTCAGTGCTTTATAGTGAGCAGCCAAGCCAGTAGATTTTCAGAAAAAGGTCAGCAATGGTAGCCTCCATATTCTCATTAATTTGGAACAATTTCATAGATCAGGAAAGTGAGAAGTCAAACCTAATCTGCATACCAGTTTTGCGTTCGGAAATTGCTAAAACACACGCACACGACAACCTTGTAACTGACTTTTCCAGGAGACCACCATGGCAGCCTTTCACATGACTAGTTTTTGAATGATCAAAGTACCACTAAAAACAGAAGTTCTAAATCTAGGGATTGTTTGCAGGTTTTTATTGTAATGTGGATGTCAACAAAAACTTGTACAAGTTAGAATATAAAACATTCATGACTTCTCTCCAGTCATCTTGCAGGAAACATTGAAACAAGATCACTGACCTTCTCAGACTCTTTAAAATGGAAATAAAGAGACCTGCAAAAAAGGCCCAATACAGTAGAACAAGCTGAGAAATAGAAACACAAAAGATCTTAAAGGGCAATCCCTTCAGCCATATTTTACCATAATGCTACATGCCGACAAAACCACTTCAGAAAAAATCTTGTTTACAAACTTACACACTGAAGAACCTGCAAAAAATGTTGATTCTTTAAAAAAAATCAAATAAAAACAAAAACATTGGTACTACCGTTAAACTCGTTTTAATATCTCCACAAATTGTGAATACTAAAGGTACAGACAAAGAATAGTCATAATGTAACATTGTAGGGACCCAATGCTAGCATTATAAATATGGAATTATAAATTTAAAACATTTCTGGCTTAAAAAATAAATCTTGAGTAAAGGAGGCTTTCAGCTTCTAGTAGGGTCTCTCCCTGCGCTCCTGACGATGATCACCCCTAGATGAAAAAACAACAACATTTTATTGGTTGAACTAAGGGAGGTGGTGGAGTGTTTAGGAGTATGCTGGAAAGATTGCTTACTTCTCCATTTTGCCAGGGCCACCACGTCTTCCACCACCACCTCTGCCGCCCATTGGCTCCAAGAGAGGTCCCGGGGGACCAGGTGGTCCACCTCTCCTTCCACCGCCAAATCCTCGGTCCATTCCCCGACCTCTGAAGCCTCCTCTATCTCCTCCTCTGCCACCTCTAAACATACCAGGGCCTCCGCGGTCCATCAAGCCTCTGCCTCCCCTCATACCAGGCCCGCCTCTACCTCTTTCGCCTCCTTGGGGGGAAAAAAAACCAAACACAAAAACATTTAGATTAAAGGATAGCATATGCAAGCTAAATTGCGAGTTAAATGTAGGCCATACACATTCAATAGGTTTTCCCCAACCTTAGTGGTGCTACTAGGCCACCTCCTTAGAGCTACACAAGAGATTAGTAGGGCAATTGCACAACTAAGAAATCACGAGTAGCAATATGCTCCTCTAAAGATGGAGCAAATGGCTCCGGAGTAGCTACACAAGTAGAATGTAGTAGCAAGCAATCTTTTATGACTGTACATGAAAGTACGATCATGGGAGATCAACTACAAGCTGTAATTTGTGCAGCTTACTTATTGAGAACCGTTTTTGTTCAACAAGCTTAGTGTTTAACCACTAGTGATATTAGCACAACTGAGCAAATAAAGTCTTCTTGGCTGTCAGTCAAATTAGGCAGAGGCCCTTGGGGTGGATAAAACTTCAGTGTAACGTAAAAAAGAAATAAAATAAAAATTCCACCCACATAGCTTAGCTCTATAGCAGATGCAGCACTTAAGCAGTTTCAAGTCTACATGTGTGTTAATGAACCATATGCCAAGGGTAAGAGAACAGATATCAATGCAATCATGGTATGCATCAAAAATGTAGGTTTACTATTGGAAAATCAAATTAGACTTGAAATCTGAATTCTTTGTTTAAGTATCACACAACTGTAAGAGGGCCTACAAAAGATAACTCAGGATTCTTATCAGCTAGACCCAGATTTTAGCGAGAGGAAACAGGAAACACTATCTTGAACAGAATAGATGTTAAGTGCTGTGCTTAAAGCAGACCCAAGAAAGCCTGGAAACCTCTGTTCAAAATTGGAATCAGAGCTCCCTCTAATGTCAGAGCTCTAGTGACGTGACAAAAGGATTTTTTGGAACAATTTGCAGCAAGCAGTGAAGTAGGTGTATAAAGTGATAGATCATGTGACCAATGATTGGCATTTGTTACTGGAATCTCTCTGCCAGCTATGTGACCAAATAAGCTTTCAAGCACCCGCCTAAAATTCACAAAGCATACTCTAAGATTCCATGTTATTTCAGAAGTCAGCATTCAGGTTTACTTTAAGAAAGTTTTTCAGTAGAGTAAGAGACCTTTACCTGGGGGTGGGAATGGAGGAGGAATGAATCCTTCAGGTTTTGGAGCCTTGCACTGATTACACTCTGTTCGCCAGGCAAAGTTTTGATTACCACATCCCCTAAAAATACAGAAATATGCCAATTAACACATGCAAGACAAAATAAACTCCTCTAGACCAGTGACCAACTATTAGAGCTGATCTACAATACATACGGGTTTGGACACTGCCAGTCTCCAGCTCTGTGTTGTACATTAGGCCCACTGACAGGGCTGCCACGTGGTCCTCCGCGTGGCCCTCTTGGCATAAATCCACCACGATCCCCTCCTCTGCCAACCATTCGTGGCATTGGGCCTGCATTTTGAAGAATGTGTTAAAAAGTGCTTAGTCGCTGCTGAATTGCAAGTCAGACAATGTAAGCAAGAATGTACTCTTTAGACAAACTGAAAACCTTAGCTTACTAAGAACATTTCCTACCTCCTCTAAGGAGTGGTGGCTGTCCTCCTCGACCCTCACGTGGCAATAAGCCACCTCTCATGCTTGCTGGAGCCTTCTTACGAGCCATAGATACCTTCATTTTAGTTCCTTGAAATTCTTTTCCTGTACAAAACATCAAGCAGATATTGCTGACAATACTTGAAACTCAAGGATTTTACGTTAAAGCAATTCCAAGCTGACTTGCTTTCCAGCAAAAATTTAGATTGGTGTGACACCTACATGCTGCCCTGGGATGAAAGAGCTAGAACTATAGAGCTAGAATAAGGCCTCCTCCCCAAAGACAGCATAGTGTAGATATTTTTAACAGATTACAAACCATTTTCCAACAGAAAATTTAGTGAAACGTTTTAAGCATCTAACTTAGTAAAGGCAATAAGATAGTATAAGTCTACCAACCATCACATAGTTCCACGGCTGTTTTAGCTGAAGGTGCTTCTTCAAATGAAACCGTTCCATCACCCTTTGGCTTTCCCGTTTCCTTGTCTGTAAAAATGTTAATTAGCTGCAGAAGATTTAAAAAGGAAGAGCAGCAAAGGGAAACCATGGATTACAGTAAGGCACACATTACACAATTGGTTTATGTTTAATGTCACTTAACATGGCTGCAAAAAACATTTGGATACAGGTAATTTCTGTTGACAGTTTTATCATTTTAAGAAAAAAAAATGTTGGGGTAAAGTATGCGTTCACAACTTTTTGGATGTTTAATTCGGCTTATGTCAAGTTAATTTGTGCAAACTTTCACACTACATACAAGTTATACCGCATCGATGCTCTGCGGGAGGGGGGAAAAAAAAAATCCTTTGTTAAACAGAAAAGACCACTCCCTCCAGATTTAGCATCACTGTTACAAAGGACTTGCTATGAGTATGTTGCCCCGTCAACTGCCCCTGTACAAACCAATGAGTCTAAGTGGCTAATAGGGACCGTCTCAGTTGCAAGGCTTAGCTATGAAAGTCAGGGAATAAAGAGGCAGTGAAAACGTAAAATTAACCCCATAGTACATCACCGGCACCGGGCCCGTTTAAACAGACTCCATTTACAATTGTAAAGTACGCTGTCGGTTTTACAATAGAAGCGATCTGGCAACTCAGCTGTCGCCAGAGCGCTTCTCCGGGCCAGCAAACGGGCTGCCCCTCACGTCCAACACCCACGCGTTTTGCGGGCTCCACTATGGGCCCGGCTTCTCTGGTGTCGAGGGGAAGTTGGGGAGGAGATCGGCGAACCTCCATTCACCGATCCCTCCCCGTACTATGGGACCAATACAGATTACATCACTTCCGGTCCCATAGCTGTCAGTTCTGGGCTCCTGAAGCCCAACAATAAGCGATTGAAGTGCGATCTGCACTTCAATAGCTAATCTCAAGTGTAAAGGAAAACTAGGGGGTCTTCTGGACCCCAAGTATCACCTTTAAAAAAAAAAAAAAGAGTACCTGTCACCACCAAACTGCTATCCCATGGGGGCTTGTAAGCCTCCCTATGTGACATCAAGTAAAAAAATAAAAAACGTTTTGTAAATTGTAAAAACAAAAAATGTTTTAAAGTCCACCGTGAGCACGCAGGTCTTCACGTAAGCATGCATCAGTGTGCCTACACGCTGGAGGGCAATAATTCTACGGCCAATATTTACATGCATCTCTTAACGGATGACCTGTAGGGGGCTTTTAAAGTGTCGCCTATGGACTTTTTGGGGGTACTGAATTTTGCGGTTTCAAATGCACACAATTTTTAACCTGGGCATGTTGGGTATCTATTTACTCGTAATCTCATCTTTTAAAAAAATTATTAGATTGTGTTTTGGGGCATTTTTCTCTAAATTTCAAGGTTTGATTATATGTTGCGCTAATATCGTACAACATAAAAATTTGCAACTGCTGCCATTTTATTCTATATGGACTTGGCTTTCAGGAAATACATAATGTTTGGGGGTTTGAAGTAATTTTTAGGCCTAAAATGTGGATTATAACATGGGTACAAAAATTGGAAAAAAAAAAGGCCTTGGTCACTAAGGGGTTAAACAGAAGGGCAAATTAGGTTTTCTGGCTAATAAAGGCAATATCTGGCCCATAAGGCTGCCTACTTAACATTTTTGCATATTGGGAAACTGTTTACACATCAACATCCAGTATGCTTTAATGTCACTCACCTTGACCTCCCCACAGTTTTTAAAAAACTCCACCAACTCTTCGACTGTCACATTTTCATTTAGACCCTGCATGTAGATAGTGTTGTTCTCGGGTTCCTCTTCTGGTTCCATAGGGGGTGCTAAATGGCCAAAAATGGTACATCAATCATTTGTATTTAAAAAACAAACAAAACCCTCACAGTCTTAAGGCAGGGCTGGACAAATTCAAGGAGCTCTGTAGCCAATGCTCCTTAAAATTTACAGCTGTTGCCTAACCTTTGAGGCTCTCCCTAGTTGTCAATGGAACCTAAATGGAGTCCTAAAAAAAAAAAAAAAAAATTCTGTTGGCTCCTGAATTCAATCGTTTGCCAACCCTGGTCTAAGGGCTTATGTATATGGGCATCTGCTCACATGTGAACTGCTTTTATCCACATGCAAAAAAACATGGAAGAAATTGATTTAGTTTTTAAGTACTTCTGAAGAACTCAAAAGGCAAGCTAAAATGCACAAAGTGTTTTCTAGTCTACACAAGACCTTAAGGCCAGACAAGCCAGTCTTGCAATGCCTACTGGGATTCACCACAGCTGGAGGGCTGAAGTTCGGCTACCTTTGATTTAGAGACTGAAGTAGAAACTTCACGTTTATGAAGATCATATCACTATCAAGCATCACCTGATTTTTCAGGATATACAATCTGTATTTTAGCAAAAATACATACCGAAGTCAGGTTCAGGGCCGTCATCCAGAAGTCCTGATAGATGAAAAAGTACAAAAAGAAAAGTTAGTAAAAAGAAAATATTCCCTGTGCAACACAAACATCAAAAATCTACAAAATACCATGAAAAATGGGGGTTCAAAGGCACACAGAACAGGGGCATGAAATAACCATCTTTGGTAGATTGTGTGCTTCATAAATTCTTGAGTCATGGGAAATAAATAACTCTAAATTACATATACTGCACATTTACTGCTATTATACAGGATGTATTGTAGCAGTAAAAAGGCCAGATTCTTCTGGAGGGGCAGGGGCACTTATAACCAACTGTAAACCTTTGTGTGCCCAAGTGTATGCAAGCATTTGCACAAAATGGTAGCAGTAAAAGGCCAGATTCTTCTGAAGGGGCAGGGACACTTATAACCAACCAATTGTAAACCTTTGTGTGCCCAAGTGTATGTAAGCATTTGCACAAAATGGTAGCAGTAAAAGGCCAGATTCTTCTGAAGGGGCAGGGACACTTATAACCAACCAATTGTAAACCTGTGTGCCCAAGTGTATGTAAGCATTTGCACAAAATGGTGTGCAATAAAAAAAACCACTTCCCCAAATTACACACATCTGGATTTGTTTGGGATTTTTTTTTCCTTCATGTTATGTAACCAAATAACCATTTATACCCTTAAGTAATGCCAGCCAGACCCTTAAACGTTTGCACACAGTAAATTTTACACCATGTTTTGGTGTGATCAAGTAAAAATAAAAAAGCTAAAAAATTATAAAAAAAGGGAAAGGGATACTGTTCAGTGTTACACTACCCATTTGTAATACTCAAAAACTTACCACCAGGCTTACTGAAGCCAGCTCGATCTCCACCGCTGCTGGGAGAATAAAGGTGAAGAAATGAAGGCCTTTTCCCTTTAAAGAGCCATAAAGCATTCTGGGCCTCGAAGGGGGTTCAAGGGTACAGAGCCGGCAGTGGCTTAACATGTCCATACAATGCATCTGTCTCAGCGTGGCACTAATCTTCAAGTATGTTTGTGTTTAATTCAAGATTCAGCCTGAACATTTACAATATCCAAAACAGACCTTTTAGCTAAGTGGGCTCAAAACCTAGGTGTCTGTATTAAGCGTGCAATGCTCATTTCATGATTTACAGATTCTACTGCTGCAAGACATATACCCCACAAACTAAAGCACTCAAATACAGCTGTGTTGAGACCCAAATCTGCAGGACCACTATACACTCATTCAGAAGGGCACATAAGTACATCAGATGCTTCTTAATCTTCCCAGCATTAAAGCATGTCCAACCACCTCCATCACAGATAAGCAGAGCTACCATACTCCTGCAATGAAGTCCAAGGAGCCACAATGCACGGAAGTGAGTTTTCACCTGCCCCAATGGTTTTATTTACCAACTTGCAGATACGACAATTTTGCAAATAGATGAACGAGGTTGCCAAACATGTTAATGCATGTGAAATTGTTAGGCAATAAGCCGTGACCTTTTAGAATGCTTATTCATCCATCGGACTGAGCTTTTTTACAACCAGAGTTTAGAAAGTAATTTCTATACAAGTTTTTTTTTTTTTTATGAAAGGGGTTTAACCTTTACTAAGCCTGTCCAGCTATCAATTTAAGAAGTGCAGATGTTGACTTACTGAAGGTGCATGACCCAGATTCTCATCCTCCCTCTTGCATCACTGCTTAGCTTTTAACAGAACCACAAAAAGCATGTGCAAATGAAATGTCCCAACACTTACTAGGCACATGCTGTGGTTACTGAAAACCCAAGGAGTGAACAATGGTTAAGCATGCCAACCCTGGATACTGCACACATTCAGAAAGTCACTGATGGCTTCCATATTTCTTACCCGACAGGTAAGAATTTAATATCGAGCAGGTTCAGGTTAACAAATTATAGGAAAAAATTGGGGCAAACTATACCCCACTGTAGAAGCATTGCACCTTTAATACCCATATCTGCATCGTTAATTACATTGTAGTAGCATTCAGCTTTTAACACCATACAAAAAAAAAAGGAAAAAAATTACAAAAATTGGAAACTAGACAAAACTACAGCGTACTCTTTATCCTTTTTGGTCACATTTTAGTCTAGAATTTACAATTTACAAAAACACTTTTATATTTAGGCCTGATAAATTAGCAAATTCTCCTCTCCATTTAGACACCGAGTCCCACTTTTCATTATGCTGCCGGCTGAGTGAGTAATTTATAGAACTGAAGTGTATACAACGCTCTCACTTTGTAACCTGTGGCATATAAATTTGACAAAGCATGTTAAAATAAGGGATTTTCATGTACAACCAATAACAAAACACATCCAGAAAATTAAGAAAAAAAGCATTCATGTGGTATTCACTTGAGTCAGATACATTACCTACCTTGTAACATCTCTGAAAAACCTGCCCACATCAGAAAAAAAAAACAATACAAAAAACGATGCCGTTGAAGGGACGTAATGCTTGCAACTGGTTGGCTGCATTATAAAATTCAACCATATATTTACATACTAAACCTAAGCCTGCTAGTGCTTTATGTTGTCACAGCTAACAGATCTCAGGCTTATCTACACGTTTTGATTTGCAGGAAAAAAAAAGGCAAAGAAAGCATAACACTATGCAGGAAGGCTTTTCAGAGGTTTTTAGCTACAAAACAGGCACGTTTAATATAAAACCATAAATGCATTAGAGATTTTCAGGAACACAGCGGAGGCACTGAATGACTTTAAATGGCTCCACAAATTAATTCATTGACACAAAAGCTGCACAGACAATGTAGTACAAAGTGGCCATCGTTTAAAGCAGACCATGAACTGATCAAAAAGGCCAATAGGGCTGCAGAGCTCTGTGCAGCTTTACATGAAAAACATGTATACTTACAGAAACCCACTTTCTACTATTACTGCAGTGTAAGGGGGTGAGAGACAATCATTTCAAAGCCTCCCAAACAAATGACATGTAAACCCAGATACCCCTAATAGTGCTGCTCTGAAAGGTAAAAAAACACAGCCATTAATAAGCAATAACCACCATAAATCCATTATTGACCCTTCCTTATGCGACTGTTCAGAACAGCACACTGGGGCCCAAGTACACACACGTTTCCAAAATGTAGTTCAAGGATCAGAATGGGACGTTTAACAGGAAGCCAGGAGTGTTTAAATAAAATCAGAGTAAAGCTTGTGATGAAACGAGGCTGGTGTTCCTGACTGCTTAACACTTATTGGTTAGAATATATATCCAAGCTTAATAAACCAAGGTAAAAAAAAAAAATATTTTATTAAAGCAGTCTGGTGTCTTATCCTGCTGCATGTCCAAAAATGGTGCGAGTAACCTGCAATGCCAGGCAAGTATCCAGTGACCAATTTGCTTTTGAATAGACTGAGCAGATCAGTTTTGTTTGGGAAGTTGCCTTCTATCAAAAAGGAAGTAACTTCAAGACCCAAAGACATAAAATGTGACTACCATTTAAGTTTCTGGCTTTGCAAGGCCACTCAAAATAAAATGACATCTGTGCTGTGCTCAGATGCATTCTTCAATCAGACTCCATCTAGATGGAAAGAAAAGGTTAATTCTTAAATAGTAGCTTTGTTCTTACCCAATGCCTCCACGGCCTCCCCTACTGCCACGGTTCAGGCCACCTCTGTCATACATGCCCCGGCCCCTACCGCGGGAATCCGAGCCTCCAGAGTTGCGGCCTTCAGAACCAGAATAACCTTGATGAGATTCCTGCCCATATGATCCTTTGTTACTTGAGTGGTCTTGACGATAACTACCTAAGCAGCCAAAGAGAGGGAGAGTGAAAAACTTTTTACTCTGTTTGTGGCGATACAAATTCGTTACTTAAAACAATTATAAAATGTTGTCACATTGCAGCGGAAATTATTAAAGTGATAAATGCCCTGTAGTATTCTGGTAGCAGAGCCCAAGCCATTACCCATTTATTAACATAATATTAAAGACAACCACTGTCGGTATTTAAGGCAGCAAAATCTTTATAATCTGTTTTTGGCATAATCTAATTTAATCTATTAGGTACCCACATACATGGATGCACTATTAACCTCTTGCCGTCCACCCGTAGTAAAAAAACGGACGGACGGCACTGCAGCATCTGCGGGTTGCCGTCTCCAGACGGCAATTTTTTTTCTGCTCGCGCGCCCCCTAGCGGAAAGACCCGCTAAATGCACACACCCGTTACCGGGTGTTTCACATATAGGCGATCGGCTTTATCAAAAAAAATTAAATAGAGCCCTCAGTGCAATAGGAGACCCCCAACCAGCATCTCTAATACTGTTACCTGTAACCATATACAAAAAGGACACAGCATTGCCACAGAGGCTTCCAAGCACTTGCATACAGTGGCATTTTAGAATGCCTGCATTGCACTTCCTCTCTCAACAGGTTAACTTTAAAACCAGGATGCAATATTTTTTAATGGTTGCTATTCCATCATGGATTCCTATTACTGATGCATCTTCATTTACACTAGCTAATAAAAGATTGCCCAAGTAAATAAAAAAAAAACAATTACTCACTTTGCTGGCCATAGCCACTGCTCTGTTGCCCATACTGGCTGGGTGGCTGGCTGCCATAAGATGATGAAGGTGGCGGATAGCTCGTAGGAGGTGGCTGTTGAGGCTGCTGCTGTTGCTGATAACTGCTCTGTTGGCCATAACCACCTTGTTGCCCATAACTGCTTGGCTGGCCATAGCTGCTCTGCTGCGAGTAGGAACTCGGTTGGCCATAGCTGCTCTGCTGAGTGTAAGAGCTTGGCTGGGAATAAGAACTCTGCTCATAACTAGATGGCTGAGATGTGGAATAGCTGAGAAGAGGGAAAAAAAAAAAAAAAAAAAGTTGAATAAAATGCTCACATTATTACACACTTTCCTCAAAGTCACCAGCAGTCTTAAAGACAGACATTTCCTTGCATGCAAAGCAAATCTGTACTTTGCCCACACAGGCACTCTAAAAACAGAGCTAGACAACTCATGCTTTAGGGCCTGTTCACACTGCTGTGGTTTGTTTTTGCATGAACCTTTTTCTTTCTACACAGCACTGTAATGCAGCACATGTGAGGAAAAAAAAACACAACAGTAACGCAGCTGTGAACGTGCCCTTAAAACTGAGAAAAGACCGCTGTGAATGATGGAGTAGCAGCATTCTTTTGCTGGGATGCATTTTTCGTCATATTGTCTAGAGAATGGCTCTCCCTGTTGCTACATGCTGCCCCTGATATCAATAAAGTAATTCAGTAATCAGGGTTGGATAGGGTAAACATGCCAACCTCTTGATAGGCCCCTGGGAGATGGAACACATGTGGAAGTACTCTGCTGCTTTTATTCAGAATGTATATGCTGAAAAGGTTTTTGTTTTTTTACATTACGTTGACTTGGGCCAATTACTCCCTGTCCAAACTTTCAAGTATAGGCATGCTTTAAAGCCATGTTCCAACAGCATATACTCCCCTTTCCTTCACGCCACCTCTGCTGTGATCAGGTACTGGAACCAATGAAAATATCAATTGGCTGTTGTATACAGAGGAGTACATGACCGCTGGTGCTTGGTGACTGGTCTAATGCTGTCTGAGGGCAGGAAGACTAGAGCTTACAACAGTCTGTCTTGCTCCCGATAGCCAAGCATTAGCAGGAGAGTAAATGAAAGGAGTGCATAGGCTGGAAAATTTCCAGAAAGCAATATACATATGTACCTAGTTGGTGGGTAAGATGGTGGAGCAGTCACTTGTTGCATGGGGTAGCTGGCTGGGACCTGGGGATAGCTGTAGCTGCTCTGACTGTAGGCCACATTGGGCTGTGCATACGTGGCCGTACTTGGGGGAGGCTGGCTTGTATCTGCCGGCTTGCTTCCATCTTGGGGTCTTCATAGTAAAAAAAAAAAAAAAAGTTGAGGCAAATAAACCATCAGTATTGCTTGCAGGAGGAGCACACTTTCTTATACCAAAGTGTTCTAGCAAAGACAGGTGTAAACATGCCAACTTTGTTCAATCATTACCTTGCTGGAGCAGTGGTTGCAGGTTGCTGTCCATATGAAGGGTATGCTGGCTGGGCACCATAAGCAGAGGGTGCAGCATATGAAGCCTGGGTTGTGGCGGTAGTTGCAGCACTGGTAAGGTTAGACTGACATTTAAACACTTTACCTACCTATGAAAATGCTGGTGGCAGCCCAGGCATAACCACACACATACAAATGCAAACACGCACAACAAATGCCCAGGCATGTGAAAGTACCAGCTTTGGTACACAAAGTACTGCCCAATAATTCTAGGGCTAGGATTCAATCACTGACCACTGCTGTACACTCGAACTGCATGCCTGCTTTTTCCAGGCGATTACAGTCAGACACAGCAAAGGGGTCAGCAAGTAAAACTACTTCCTGCTAGTTATCACTAATTTCACCGGACAAAGCTGCTTTACCACACATTCACCTCCCCGAACCTTGCTTTCAAGGGGTAGAGAGATACTTTATTGAGTGCCGTTTGCAGCTACCTGTAAAGGAAATCAGCTTAAGCCTTCTGATAATGCCCAGATCCTGAAGGAAAAGAGCACTCCAATCATTAAAGGGTTAAACTGTACATTGTCCTAATATACGAGGATTAGAGCCACAGATAAATTGCCATTAAAATGACTTTATCCAGTCAGGTGTTAGACAAGCACACATTCATGTACATCAGAAAATCTTACCAGCAGGTGGCTGTCCATAAGCCGCAGCATAAGCTGACTGACCATAAGTGGCAGTGGTTTGTGCCTGTGTGTAACTGGCATCAGTAGGCTGCCCGTAAGTGCCATAACTCTGTTGCCCATAGCTTGCCTGAAAAGAGCAAACATGTAAAGGAATGAAATAAGAACCAGTCTGCAGATCTAAAAGGACAATACTAGAGCTACATGAGTAGTCTCAGCAAATAAAACCCTCACAAAAGGGACACATACCATTTTTTCGGCTTAGTGTGGGAAGGGTTAAAACAGCTCATGATTTGGTTACTTTCTTTTCCCTCGCCTGTCTCAGTTTAGGTGGTCAATAGGACAAAATCTCAGCAGAGGAGATTCAGAGGACTGTAAAAGAGGTTACATTCCCACGGTCCAAAACGGTTTTGGCTGGACATGGCCTAATTCACTTGCAGCATAAAATGTGCATTGCAGCTACCTTGTAGTGCATCCATAGACTGGTTAAGTCTTAAACCAGCCCCTGTGGATTCTCCTTGGAACCTAGGCTCAGGATGTACATGGGACCTTGATTTGTACCCTTTCAATTGGAGAACATCAGGGCCCCTACTGTTGCCTGGCATTTAACATTTGAAAGATGAGCATGGCTTCCTTTCAACTTGGGCAGAAAGAGGACCCTTGTGCAATATGGACTTTGCAACATAGGGGCTCAGCAAGGAACAATTGTGCAAGCAGCCCTGTTAACTGCCCTTCAGTGCTATTACACAAACCTTTTAGCACTGGATAGCTCACATTTCTGCTCATCCATGGGACTGGCTCTGGGCAGGCATTTTTTTCTTTCTACATTTAGCTCAGGCTAGCAGGGAAGCCTGCGTTCATTTTGTACAAGTGATGTCGCCAGTCGGCCAGATCATTTGTAGCTGCGTGCTTGTCCGTTCCCCCCTATCTCAGATTATGATCAACAAATATGATCTGTGTAGACACAAATTACAAAAAAATTAAAAACTATATCCCTCCCACCCGTATCCATTCATGTTTCTGTTTGGACTTTAAAACCTGGCCATTGAAAAATGTATGTATGAAAAACATGGGATGTGACTGATTCAACTTCCTCTCATCAAATACTTTTGACATTTGAGATATGTACATTGTAACTTCCTTGCAATGATGGAGTATTGCATTTGGAGGAGCAGGATGCACATGTATATTGAAGAACCATGAGGAAAAAATATGACAAAATTAATGCTGCTGGATTTCTTTGAGAAAGAAAGGTTCAAATTTATAAATATATATAGTGCTATATCACTTGATTAGGATTTTATATAGATATTTTATTATGGAATAGCTTTATAGAGTCCCATAGGGTTTGTTTGAGAGTTGGGGGGGGGAGGGGGGGGGGGGGGTGTCTTCACATGTGTGAATCAACTAGTTCTTTATAAACTATGCACTAACAGCAAGGTTGGTACCTTATCAATTCAACATGGAGGATGAATCAAATATACACGTATCCATTTTATACACTAAAAATCAAATCATGGATGGAAACAAGCATTTACAAAATATGGAGGGCATATCATATACTTCAATGGAAACTGAAAGGGGGGGGGGGGTTAGACAATCTGGAGCAGTTGTCCATAACCAAAATTAGTTCAATTGAGCTTTAAGAATAAGACAGAAGCCGATTGGTTGCCCCATGGGCAACTGCTTCAAATTCTGTCTGCTCCAGTTTTGCCTATTCCCCTCACTGTGTACTTGCCGAAAATATGCACATTTTCCAATAAAGTCCCACTGTATGCACAAGTCCCTCACTGCTATTTATTTTTATATAAAGAGGGTCAATACCTGAGCAGTTTGTGTGTATCCTTGAGCTGGCTGGGCAGAGTAAGTACCATAGCTGAAATACAAGAAACAAGTGAGCATTAAGTGTATAGGAAGGAATAACAGCAAATACAAAAGATTACCTTGCCTGCCCATATGCCCTTTAACAAAAACCACAACCGACAGAACAGAGCGCACACTTACCTCTGCTGTGCACCAGCCTGGCTATAGGTGCTATAATCTACAAGAGAAAAAGAAACATGTTGAAATGTGTTTTGCTAACAAAACAAAAAAATATATAAATTACAAACATAAGCAGGTGATTATGCATGTAGCATTGCTCCTGGCAGAATGTGGATCATTTACCAAGACATGAGTATTTATACCAATGTTTTCCCCCTGTAAAATTCAAATTTAATCTCTAGACTGATGTCAGACAGGCGATTCTGTACTAGACTAATCTCAGCAGAAATCGCTACGGTCAGCAATTAGCAACTTTTAACTAGCAATTTAATCACTAAAAATCAATTGACTGTTGCTACAAGCTAAACTAGTGCTAGAACATTGAGTTGATGTGCTCTTCTACAAATTGCTGCCCTTCAGCAATTTGTAGCAAAGCACAGAGGTGAATAAAAAGTCATTCTATAGATTAAAAAACTATAAAAAAAAGGATTACTGCAAAAAACACCTAACACTAGGAATTACAAGATCACTTACTTCATGAAAAAATATATTTCTGTATCAGGACAAGTAGATTGTCAGGAGGGAGAAGTAGATATGGGCCCCCCTTTAGTCCCTGGAAAGTATTTTTTGTTTTAAAGGAGAATTATGAGGCAAGTGATTTTCACTGAGCCTCATAATCTGAGCCGACCTCGGACAATGAAACTGTCACAGGCCATATCAGTATATCGGGAAGTGAGCGAACACATACCGCCGTTCGCTCACTTCTCAATCCTGTCACTGCAGAAAGCCATGACAGGGGAGGGACTGGATTCTCCCCGCCCCAATCCTCCAGCACTGACTGGCGGAACGGACAGGGGAGGATACAGCTGCCTCTAGATAGGCAGAGCCAGCTGTCACTCATGCAGCTGGGCGAATCCAGACAATTATCAGGATTTGTTTCAGCTGCGGCGTGTCACTACACCGCGATACTGAGCTTTGGGTAACGGGAGGACGCTAGTTTGTGTCCTCCTGTTACCCTTCAGAGAACTATAGGGGAAAAGCCCTAACCCCATAGTTCTCCTTTAAAATTTCCACACCCCTGTAAATGCTATGGAATAGCAAAGGATACTAACCCCTTCGTGACTGACGACGTACAGTGTACGTCGCCAGCATCGGGGCTGTTTAAACAAAACGTGTTTAAAGTGACACTTAACTCGAGTCAAATCTTTAAAATGGATTCAAGTACCTTAACTGTCAACAAAAATGTATCTCATTTGTGTATATTCCAAATACCATTCGCACTCCTACGGAATTAGAGCATAAAAGAATCTGTGGTGCTCAAGGTGACCACACGGATGGCGCCGTGCAAACACTAGCAGTAATCACAAGGATTTCACCGGCACACACTTGGAAATTCAAATATCAATATTTTTCATTGATATATTTATTCAGTGAAGAATGTCACATAGTGCTAACGTTTCGGGTCCTCACAGGGATCCTTCATCGTCACTGTTGCTCTGATGAAGGATCCCTGTGAGGACCCAAAACGTTAGCGCCATTTGCCATTCTTCACTGAATAAATACATCAATGAAATATTCATATTTCAATTTCCAAGTATGTGCCAGTTAAATCCTTGCATTTACTCTTATTTGGGTATCACTCAGCTACAGATCCTCAAATCATCTCTGAATTGGTGCAGACACTGTGCTTCCTCCTGGAGGGTGGCTACTTTTGTTCCCCATGGTCCCTGTGTGTGTTGTAAAGTAACCGCTCCAAGCTCACTCCCCTGACTACAAACTCAGTACAAATCAATAAACTAAATATTAAATTGTAGTCCATCACAGGAGTGAGCATGGAGCAGTGTCTACTTTACAACACACACAGGGACGATGGGGAACAAGAGTAGCCACCCTCCAGAAGGAAGGACAGTGTCACCACCAAATCAGAGATGATTTGAGGAGCTGCAGCCGAGTGATACACAAATAACCATTAACAAAAATGTATCTTAAACTGTATCAGTTTCTATCTTCAGTTTGTTCAGTTAAAGTGACAGTCAAAGCTTTAAAGCTTTTTTTTGCCAATGTTAAAGCACTTACCTTAAATGATGTCTCTTAATCCGATCTTCCTTTCCCGTCCTTTTCAGCCTTCTCTCCAGCGCTGCTGCGGGTCTCCGATCCAGCACCGACTCCTCTGTCCTTGCTGGCACTTCCTGTCCCACGGTGTCTGTATGCGGGTGCACGCGTCCATGTACTTACCTTGTGTCTCCTTGCCAAAAATCTGAACTGCGCCCGCCCCAAGATGCTCTGCGGCCGCCTGAGAATGTTCACATTTTCGGATGGGAGCGCGCGGGGAAGACAGGTAAGTTTAAACCGCGTTTAAAAAAAAACACACTTTTGCATATATCTACTGCTTGCTAGCAGTAGATATATGCAAAAAACCCAGAGGGTTTAATAACCCTTTAAGATCTGAAAAAGATAGAAGCCGATTGGTTGCCATGCACAGCTGTTAGATATTTTTTTTCTGCTCCAGTTTCGAGAAACTCCCCCCCCCCATTGTTTCAAACATATATATGGAGCAGATGCTTTGCTTTTCGCAATTTTGCAGTACAAATATGTACAGCCATAAATGTTTTTTCAGTTTAATAGTAAATGGATTTTTCTGCTCTTCAGCTCCATTAGCCAGCAGTCACACCCACGCATGCCGTGAAAAGGGCATCACGTTTGCGCATGCCCCCACTGAATTTGAGGCCTGAACACATGACAAATGCAGCAAAACCACTCAGGTAGAAGATTTCGCCACACGTTCTGCAAAAACTCGCATCTTCCTGGCTGTGTTTGGGGTGCCATTAGAAATTAATGGCAAAGTAAGTTCGTTTTGCTTTGTTTGTCAACTTGCACCAAAGCACATGTTTTTACGCACAATCATAGAACGCACAGATGTGAATGTGGGCTTGGAGAGATCTCCCCTTCTGCTTACTATCCTGATAAATAGTTTCACTTGAACTTTGGGCAAATACAATCTCAAACACCCCCCACCGCAAGGGTGAATTGCTCTTTGCCAGGGAAGCAAATCTATAACAAACCACAACCTCCATTGGCTCATAAACCGGTCCCCTTCATCCCATCTCCTCCTCCACTCCAGCAATGGAATATCCCTCTGCATTCTCACATTCTATACACTGTATAATATGTGATGACTCACAGGACCTTCGATCGCTGGAGCAGAGCAGCAGGGACTGGAAAATACTTACACACCCAGCAAATCCAGCGTTCTGTTGTGATCACCATGTTCCTTTCTGATATCAGGAAACAGCCATCTTCCTGATGACATGATCCAGATTAGGGATGCACCGATACCGTTTTTTTGGTATCTAGTGCAGATTTTTTCCCCCAGTATTCGCCGATACCAGAAGTCCCATTAAGGAAACCGGGCGGTTTGTAATGACTTGCAGAACGTGTGGTCTCCATGCTCCCTCGTCACCAGGTGAGGAGGAAGAATGGAGCTGGCTTTCTGATTGGTCACCAAGTGAATACTCAGTATCAGCACATCCCTTCTAAGCCAACGCCTCCTGGGATATGCAACAGATATCCCAAGGGGCTGCAGGAGCAAGACTACACGTTACTCTCACTTAAGTGTGAATGGGAGGCAGGGGGCACTCTAAACAGGAAGCTTAGGACAAGAAAGATGAGAATGAATCTAGAAGTCAGATTTTTTTTTAGATTGTGGGGGGAAAACTGGCTGAAAGTGTAATTTGGCTGAGAGGGTCCATTTTGAGAAGTGATCCTGCTGCTGCTCTGTGTAGGGACTCCCTCCTTCCCAGAGAGCACACTGGACTACTCCATGATCCAACAGACCACCAAGCAAGACAACCTAAGCATTGATTCAAGGCCAGTGAATAACTGGAGCAGCCCATATCCCTGCCTTTTCCCACAGCCACTTCCCTGTAAACACGCAGGTCATGAGGCATTTACTCCATGTGTTTTTACACACAATGCAGTAATTACACGGCACAAGCTGCCTATAAAGAGGTACATCTAAATAGCTCCGCGGTAGTCAAACGCCCAACTAAAAGCAGAGTGGACAGATTGAGGATCCCCCAAGCCTGCTCGGGCCTACCCAGGGTCAACTTGGAGCACTGAACATATGAAAACATTTTAGGCGCCACCAAGCCCACCGTGTAAATATTCAGCATTTTAAAGTCTGACCAGCACACAGAACTGCATACACTAAACACCGGGAGATTAAAAGGATTCGCACACCAACCCTGAAACCCTGCTGGCGCCGGCGGGAATGGCAATGGAAACGCTGCCGATAGATTGCTTGCTGGGTTATCCATGGGCACCGTGCCTACAATAGGTCGATGTGCAGACCGTGCGTCAATGTGAGTCTGATCCCGGGCCTGGAGCTCGTGTACCCGCGCGGAACGCGCCGACCTGTCCGGCTGAGGCCTAGGGCGCGGAAACTAAGCCCGAGCAGGCAGCGTTCCACGAACCACAAAAACAAGGCCGCTGCGGCCGTGTGGTTGTGGAAGAAACCAGCCAGGTCACGTTAAACTAAACGCCGAGCACACAGCCTGGTTACGCAGATAGGTTTCATCACACGAGTCCGCTCCGTTACTCACCGGTGGAAGCCATTTTGTGCGCCCTCGCTGTTCCAACGTCCGTGTAAGGAGAGGGTGAAGCGCCTGCGCAGTACTGACCTCTCGGACTGTACCACTATGAGTCTAGGAGAGGGAAGATCCGGGGACCTGCCTTTGCGTCAAAAGAGAAACCTGGGGGCACCTTTTGTGTGCTGCTCTGTAAGGATGGTGTACGGGCTTTTGTGAGAGCCGCACGAAGCTGCAAAAAGGTATTTCACGCGGGTGGCGAATCCCCCCCCCCTTGTTTTGGTTGTAGTGGTGTGATCCGTTGGAGGGTACAGTTGCAGGGAGCAGCAGTGAGGGGTAAAGGAAAATGGCCTGGGCCTGGTTCATATAGTACTATTGTGTGACCTTTTCTTACATGAGTCCTTTGTTTGCTTTCTGTGGTAACCTAGTGTGTCCTGCCTTTATCAGTCAGACGGCCATATGTATCTGGTTTCCTATGTCAGGCAATAAAGTAATACAGTTTATTCCATGCATTCACTCCCAGCTCCAATGTACCTGCTGGCTGGTAGATCATTTTTATTCATCTTAAACTACCCATACGCCACCAAATATTTTCATTTTTAGAACATTCATATTGACTGTAGTGACAAGGAAAATCCAAGGAGCAGCACGCAAAATGTTCCTTGTCTGAATGAAGGGAATTCTAATGGTGAATGTGATACTCATGTGGGAAAAATCGTACACATTGTAATGCACAAACAGAAATCCGTTTTAGGGCTTTTGAACAAAATGAGTTGATGCAAGGATGGCAATGTCCAGTGCCCTGACCAATCATTTATTATGAACATTCAAACAAAATTCTAATTGTGTACGGCTTCTTTGAATTGTGAGGACAAAGTCAAGACTCCATGAAGGGTATTTTATCAAAACGAGCAGACAGAAACTGGAGTAGTTGCCCATGGCAACCAATCAGCTTCTATCTTTCATTATGAAAGCTTACCTGAAGAGAGAAGCTGATTGGTTACTATGGGCAACTGCTCCAGATTCTGTCTGCTCCAGTTTCGATAAATTCCACCCATTGGGGTTGATATACTACAGGCAAGTGGGCTGTTCACTTTGGAGGTGAATTTTCCGTTAGCTTAGTGAAAACTGAAATGACTGGACCCATGTTGGCCTATGGGGAATCGGATGTAAACGGACATGTGTCCTTTTACATCAGATTATCCCCGGTTTTTCCGGACCTGGCCATAGTCGGGGGAAACTGGGTGTAAACAGACGCCCATCGGGCAGACACGATCAAACGATCAAACCATCCATTTGAAAGGGGCCAAAAGGAGGAGACACACAAAATAATGGGTGAGACTGCAGGAGAGAAAGAGGAGTTGCACACGAGTGAGTGCAAGGAGCACAGGCTTCAGGTCACACATACTGGAGAGAAAATAGGACTTGACAATATTACTGCACACCAGTACTGACCAGTACACAGTGTGCTTCAGCCCATTAAATACATTCGCTGAGGCGCATTCTAAGTGATGCAATTAGCCCCACCCCTTACTCTTATATTTTTTTTGGGGGGGTGTACAATTTATGGAAAATGGCTGCCGAGGTGTACACAAATGGAAAATGGGTTGGGAACCACTACCCTAGGTAATATAAACCTTCTCTTACCAAGTTTAGCTTAGGGTCCTCAAGGAGGCTAGACATCTCTTCCAGTTCTGCAGGTTCAAGATCTATCAAGGGGATTTTTCCCTTTTATGATCAACAGCTAAGGGTAGGTTTAGGTTAGATACCAATTCTGTAAGCCTTTCCAGTAAGCCGCTCAGTGCAGGTTTTCCAAATTTGTCAAGTACATTGTTGATTTCACTAAGACACCTCAGCAGCAGTCTTTGTTAAGGCATCTTGGATGTATCATGCTAGCCACAGGGCTCAGCTCTATGTGTCACAGTAGTGATGGCTATAGATCTACTGCACTGCTTATAGGTGGCCATACACTGCACGATTATCGTACGATAATCGTATGCGATCGGTTTTTCGTACGATAATCGAGCACCAGGCCAGAGCCGTGGCATCTGCACTTGCCTGACCCTGTCTCTAAAGACTCACTCCTTATGTAAGTAGGCTGCTAGCAGGGCTTTGTCAGGGGGGTTCCCTCCACTTTATTAGTTAGGGGCAGTGTGGTGCTTGGTGCATCTGACCGGAATTGTTAGCAGGCAACCCGACCTCTGCTTTTTGTGTGTGCAGTGTCTCACCGGGGCTGTGTGCGCCGTCTCACCAGGGCTGTGTGCGCCGTCTCACCAGGGCTGTGTGCCCCGT